CATAACGGTCGTAACCCCGTATCGGGAGCCACTACAGGGGAGGGTACAGAGCCGCTTCAACGGCTGCCATGCCAAAGCGCTGTTGTAGCAAACACCGTGGTGGTGGCTTAAAGCCCACCTCTGCTACGCGCCGTCCACTGAGGCTGTCCAGAGCCAGGCCAAAGCTATCGATATTTAAACTCACAGGTTCAGCAGACAATATTAAAATACCAATTGTAACCACCAATATGTAAATGCTAAGGATCATATGTTCCCAATCCAGGAAAATGTCACTCACTCCCAGGCTTTCTTGGCAGTGTGCCTTCGGCCAGTAAAAAGGTTGTGTTTTTCGACCCTCACTTTGATGAGGGTCAGAGTGTCTTGCTCTGTCCCTGTGAAAAGACAAAGTAAAAGTTGTAGCTTAAAACTGTTGGAAGATGTTCTAGTTTTCTAGTGTATATATAACAACATAGCCCAAACCAAATGATAGTGCTGAATGCTAAACAAAGTTCTGGTTGATTTAATACTCTTACAAAAAAAATAAACGTTTGCACTTTTAAACATCATGGCATGCTGTAGGAGGATTGGGTGTAGTTAAAATGTGGATAAAAACATAAAGAATATCAGGTGAAATGTCAATAAGGAATGCGGTTAGAGGGCTCTAACTGCATACAGACGGGCTGAGTTGGATCGCGCATTTCACTTCTTAAATAACTTATACAACGAATCATTATCAACACTTACATTTGTGCATTGCTCCCACAATGGTTTTGAAATGATTCCAGCGGTGTGTCACGCCTCTTTTATACCCACCGTTCCCGGAAATGCATCCGCGAAGGAGCTAGTTGGGCTTGCCAAAATCACGCTACAGTTTCATTAAACAAATAATCAAAAATGCCAACAGTTTATTTTGCCGAAAGCTATAGCTAACAAATAATTGTTTTTAGTGCCTTTAATACGGTTAGAAGCTAACAGGTGATTGTTTGTATTGCCTTAAGACTATCATAGTTAACGTTAGCTAATCACACTACATTTCAAGACACCGGAATTGTTATTAATGTTAAACAAATACAACTTTAAAAGCACTTCACATTACTCACACTCTGTGCGTTGTCGTTCATATTCATGTCTCCTACTCGCTAGGTGGCAGCGTCACGAAAAACTAGGGTCCTAGGAGTGTGGTCTGTTGTAGCAAACACTGTGGATGGTGGCTTAAAGCCCACCTCCGCTACGCGCCGTTCGTTAGATGAGCCTGGTTATATTTAATAAGAGAAGGAATTCAAAACACCGGAATAAAGGTTATAACAATAATCTGATTTTACTGGTAAAAAACAAAACACGTATACAAGTTTACAGAGTACTCCGGACTTCAGGTTCTACTGCTGTGCGATACAGGTATCGGGACCAGCCAGTCAGCAACAGGAAGCATTTTACATGCAAAAACAACAGTATTCATATCCATATTTTGGGGCGGAGATGTGTTGACTTCTTCCTTCCCATTTTACTCCGAAGCGAATCAGAGAGTCCGTGGGGAGGAGCTGTGTGAGCTGCTCACTCCCCCAGGTGTTTTTACTGGTTGGATTCACTTCTGGTCGGGTCCAATACAGCGAATCAGAGTTCTGGGAAAAAAGTATGTTTCTTCTGAGCAGAGCGTGAGATTCGGAAGTACACAAGGACAGAGTCAATCTTTATCTGTGTTTTATGTGTAAACGTTATTTTGGTGTGTAAAAGTGAGATTACATGTGTAGATGATTCAAATAATCATGTATTCGTCCCACAACGGAGACATTTACAGTGGATAGACATGTTTTTGACATCGATTATTTTGATCATACTGTTCTGTACAGGTGAGACTGTCATATATGTAGGCCTGTCGCGATAATCAATAAATTGACTTATCGTAGGATAAATAAAAATGGACTCGATAACTTTTCTGAGCTCGATAAATTGCCGTTTATATGCGTGTTTGTTTACATAAGGATGTGACCAGAATTTTAGCCCGGCGCGCTGTGAGGGGCGGGGCTCACACAGCCCATGACACAGCCAGGTCAGGACACTCCGCGTGCAGCAGTGTAGCAGCCAAATTAATAATATAGAGACAAGCAGGGGACAACGTGTGACTTACTCGAGGGGAATTTGAAGTTAAATAGAATTGGTTGCAAAACCTAATACCACATCTCCGGTGTGGGAATATTTTGGATTTAAGCCAAATCAACGAGGCGAACCTACAGACTTGAATGAGCCGGGCGGTGTGTCGCATTTGTTTAAAAAAGGTAGCAACAAAAGCTAGCAATACGACCAACCTTAAACTGCACCTGAAACACAACCACCCCATTCCATTTTCCCAGCTGGGAACAGGGGCGGACTGGCCTTCTGTAGAATCTGGAGAACCACAGAACGGCCGGTCGTCAAGGGCCGTTGACGGCCGGCCGGCCCTTTACAAATAAATTGTTTAACGTCATCATTTAAGTTGCGCTGACGGCCGACAGAGGCCAACAGCGGCCGCTAATGCAGTTGTGTGGTTCTTATCTGTCAAATAATCACACACAAGAAGAGAAGGGATTAGACGCCGCGGCAGACAGGGAGAATGAAAAAACATGGATAAAAATCAAAGAAAAACGTGCGCCTGAGAAGGCAAGAGAAAAAAAGGTGAAGTCACTCGCAGGTGAAGCATATAAATGTCGCAAATTGACAGACCTTTTTGGCAGCAGCGCTGCTACAAGCACTATCATCAGCAGCTTAGAACAAGTGCAAGATGATGAAGACAATGATGAGGGCGCGAGTTCAGATATAAAGCCAGCCTCCAGCGTTCATGATGAGGGACAGAGAGTTGAGCTGGTGGAAGAACCAGCTCAACTGGCACATACAAGTGCAGGGCAAGAGCAAGAGGTGGGTGAGAATTATCCCTTGAACTGCATAAATGCAGCCTAATAAACAGCTGATTTCTAATAATAACAAATAGTACTGTATGTTTGTGTGTTTACTGTTTTACGCTGTCCCATGTGTTCAAGACATCTGAGGAGTGTCCTCCCTCTTTAGGTGAGAATTATCCCTTGAACTGCATAAATGCATTTTCCGATGTCACCCCCCCGTTGAGATTTCATGTGGCCGGACTGGGTCAGATTCCAGGGCTGAATTTTAGTCCCAGTCTGCCCCTGGCTGGGAGCAAACACGGCAGCTGGAGATGGAGAGACCCCACCTTCCCGACAGTTTGCAATCAAAGATGCATTTGCCCGACAATGCAAACATGTTGGTGTTCCTTGCTCGAAATCTTTGAAATACAGATTTGGATATGGCCTGTTGTGTTGAGGCATCTGGGTCTTTGTATGGACAGTGGACTGTACACTTGACTGTTGTTTTAAGGAGTTTTTTTGTGCTTGTGAGACAATGTGTGCTCATATTTATTTATACATTTATATATATATGAGAGAGAGAGAGCTCTGTTTTCCAGCCTGACTATCTAATTTATTGTTTTGGTTGTGTGTGATTTTAATTAATTTGTTATAATTAAATGTATTTGTTTCATGTATTATATATAATTTATATATTTGAATATTATTTCATTTATTTGAAAGGATGTACTTGAATTATTATTATATATTATCATTATGTCAGTGGTCTAAAATGGTCTTACAACGGTACAATTATCGTGACAGGCCTACATATATGTATTTATATGTGTGCCTGTGATTATTTTTATCATACTGTTCTGTACAGGTGAGACTGTCATAGATGTATTTATATGTTTGCCTGTGATTATTTTACCGTCCTGTACAGATGAGACTTTGTTATCAGATATATGTATATGTGTGTCTGTGATTTTATACTGAATGTAAAGTAACTGGAAATACCTGTGTGTGTGAGAGAGAGAGAGAGACTCCTGTCCAACCTCCCAAACTTTCTTTTTAGGTGTGCATTGTTATTTGTGCTTGAGCAACATTTTACTTGAACTTTATTTCAATGAAATTAGTAGTAATTATTGTCCTACATTTCAATTTGTTTTACAGAGATGTTTCACAGCTGCCTGGGCCTAGTGGCCCACAGGCAGCGTTTATCCAGCAGCCAGAACATCCATCTGTGCCTGCCCCTAGGTCAAGATCTACCGTGGCTCAAGGGCCTTCACCAGAGCCATCACCACAAAGGACTAGAGGACCAGCATCACTACAGCTGCCTCCACCTCCATCTGTGGCTGCCACCAGGTCAAGATACACCTCAGCACAAAGGCTCCACCACAGCCATGACCATCAACCCAGCCAGCAAGGAGGTCTCGTGGAGGTCTCGTATAGCCCATGCACCATCACCCCCACCTATACACAGCAGCCAGACCCACTGTTTTGGAAGACAGACAAAGACCTTGACACTGTCTTTACATTTATAATGAATAGTTGGTTGAAAGTTCTGATGTTCAATATTGTAAATAGTGAGATTTTCCAGTTTCTTATATTTCTATAAATAGTTGGTTGAAAAAAAAATATTTATAATAAATTGTTGGTTGAAAAAAAAAGTTCTAATGCTCAATTTGTATTTGTACACATCACATGAACCTTGGTATGTAATATGAAGTCATTATTCAGTCCTAATGTATCTCAGTCTCTGCTGTGGTGAAAGTAGAGTGATAAACACCTATTTTTATAAAAATTCGAATTTAATTTGTTTCATTTTAGACATGAATTACACATTTATATACAGTGCAATTCAAATATTTCACTACTTTTGTGATCCTAAGACTTTGGTAACCAAATCTAAAACACCAAGAAAATTGGATGACATGAGTACATTTGTGTTTTCACAAGAGTTTTGAAGATTTTCCGAAAATCGGATGTCAAATGTTAAGCTTTAGAGCTACTTATCTCATCACACAGTGCTCTAAGGTGAGTAATTTGCATTTATAGCAAGACCAGAGAACGCATGGGGTGCCATGTTATAAGAAGTACATTTAAAAGGTGATTTAAGGAAACATCTAAAAATACCCTTAGACTCCAGAGGGTTAAGGCATTTCTAATTAACAGAGAAACCAATAATTTATTTTTATATTTTTTATTAAGAAGAGAAACAAAACCAGGGTTGTCGACAGGAGGATGCAAAATTATTCTTGGAGAGAACACTTCCTAATGTTAGTTGATAGTCTGTATATTCACCAGGTAACAGCAAACATTATTTTGCAATCATTTAGCAAAATAATAATAATAGCAATCATTTTTTCACTATATCTGTAAAGCGTCTTTGAGCACCTGTAAAAGCGCTAACAAAATGAATCTATTATTATTATTATCTGCACATCAAACATTGCAAAACCCAAGAACAGCAATATATGGTATGTAGTCGGCCTTGACTCTCAACGCGGCGTGGCGATGATCTCGGAGGAGTGAGGCACATTGGCGAAGCTGCTGTACTCTGGATTGAGGTTGATAGTGTCGGGGCCTCCAGTGCAGGAAAAAGTGAAATTCTGCAGCAGTGACACTAGGAAGATAAAAAGCTCCATACGAGCCAGAGACTCACCAACACAGGCTCTCTTCCCTGTGAAGAGATAAAACCACAAACTTCAAAATAAAAATACAATTGCGTTTACGATTGTTACTGGGCAATGAGTCAGGTTTTAGCAAAAACATGACTCAACTAGCGGAATGCCGCATTTTACCTGCAGAAAAAGGCATGAAAGAAGGATTTTTCTTAAAGTTGTCATTCTGGTCCAGGAAGTGCTTAGGGTTGAAGGTCCAGGGAGTCTCCCAATGCTTTTCGTCTTTCAGCACAGAGTGAAGCAAAGGAATAATCACAGTCTCCTATTAAGACATGTGAGAGATATGTTAGTGTAATAAGGATTTGTCTCTGTCATTGGATATTATATCTTGGGATGGACAATACCTTGGGGATTGTGTAACCCCTGAAAGAGATGTCATGGAGTGTGTAGTGAGGGAGGCTGAATGGGACAATGTCCAGAAAGCGCTGCACCTCATGGATGACTGCATCAGTAAAGGGGAGGGACTTCCTGTTCTCCATGCTAGGACAACTTTGTCCAATCACAGTGTCAATCTCATGCTGCATTTTCTCTGTACGGGAGCAAGCAAAACATAAAAGGTAAATACAGGATTATAGATGTTTGTAGAACTGGTAAAAAAGGGCTGTGTTTCCTGTTGGGGGACTTACCCTGTATGTCTGGGTATTTTATGAACAAACTGAGGGCATATCTAATGGTTGAGCTGGTTGTTTCCGTTCCTGCCAGGAAGAGATTCAGCACAGTCGAGACCAAGTTTTCATGGTGGAACTCCGTTGAAGGAATGTCCTTTTCCTGAGAAGTTATATTGGTATAAATGCTACAAAATGCACAGCAAACAGCAAATATTTTTTTTCTGATGACATCTGCCATAGGTACATCAGGAAAACCTTTCTTAGCATCCAAAGTAATGTGAAGGGATGTTTAATTGGATACAGAGGAATTTTAAGAAATTCCACGATCAAAGTTATATTGCGCAGTGTGGTCCCGGGTTTCTTAAAGGTCCCATGTCATGGTCATTTCTACTGATCACAATGGATCATAATTCCATTCTTGAGGTCTACTTTTTGCTACCATTGTTCAATGTTCCAAAATCACATTGGTTTTATCATACAGCATCTCTGTATTGTATGTGTATTCACTCTCTGTCCTACACGCCTTGTTGGAGCTCCTGCAGCCCACTCTGTTCTGATTAGTCAACCACCGTTACAGCTGAAGATCAGTGTTTATGTGTTACAATGGCGTTTGTTAGCAACCAGAAAATGACATCAGTAATGACAAACAGATGAGAATGCTGCGTGGGGGGGACGTTGCGGGGTTCGCTGCTCCGCCTTTGAGGCTCGAGGAGCGGACAGTGTGAGCTGTATTACTGGTGTCGTTTCCTGGTTGCTGCGTGGGGTCTGCAAGACAGCGAGACACCGCGGAACTCAGCCTGAGCACACACACACATTCACAGCCTGGCTGTGTGCGGAGATCCGCGGAGCTGCGGCTGAGAAAAGATAAGGCTGAGTGTGTGTGTGCCGGCGAAGCTCCGCGGATTGGTCCATTTGGACCTTGGTATCGTTACGTTTTTTCTTAACCTCTTAAGGACGACGGTCCCCCCAGTGGACCCCCCCCCCACCGTTTTTTTTCGAGACTGTGTCTCAGGGCTTCTTAACATTTATGAAACTATTAATGTGTAGCACCAGATTAACGGGAAGAATCTCAGCTAACTGAAGATATGAACAATTTTTACCAAAACAAAACACAAGGGTAATACCAAGCCTCTGAATTAGCACTAAGCGAAAAAATGCTAACGCACTTTAGCACAGAATTCAAGATAAAGATACCCTTATTACTTATCGTAGCTGCACATACAATATATCCGATTAAAGCTGAGACTCCACTGATTATTTAGGTATAGTATCATCACTGATCGATCCAAACTCGCGACAGGGGAAGCAAACACAGACATCACAACACGTACCTTTACGGAGCTTTTACGGGAGATCGTCTCACCGTAGCTGTCAATCTGATCAAAAGACGTCTTCAATGGCATTAAAACGAGAAAAAACGTGGCTGAATCGGTTGATCCATAGGTTAATAATGTATCTGTAGCTTTGAAAAAATTATTTATAATCCATAATTCCATTTTTATGTAAAGATCGGAGAGAAAAAGTTAGCTGCTAATGGTAGCCACCAGAGTGTATGCAGCTTCCGGTTTTGGCCACGCGTCACTCTCACTCCTTATTTGTTAACGTGTTGGTGTGTATAGAACTTTCCCTCGATTCCATTGGCTCTAGCGGTTATAAAGAGATTTCATTCATCAAAATCGACCAAGGGGGGCCAGAGATAGGTCAAATCCACCCAAATGACCCCAGAAGTGTTTTTTTTTTGCTAAATCTCTCTAAAAAGGTCAAATTTCACTTGTTTTGCATCAATCTTGATACAGGGTACTTATTATATGTTGTACTTTGGATTCCTAAAGCTTTTAGTCTACTAACCCATCATCCAAGGGTAGTTTTCACTATAAGTAAAACATAATTAAATCTGAATTTTCTTTAAAATAAAAAACATCTATATTGATTCTGACTTTTCTACATCCAACTCACAGGTTTATCATTACTTTGAGAACAAAGATTATTAATTTAACCCTTTTAGAAGGGAAGATATGGTCATTTGTTCTGGGAATGTCATTTTCGAGCCTGAGACCTGAAAAACAGGCTCAGGGCTTTAGAGGTTAATGTCTTTCATTTTTGTAAAGCACTTTGAATTGCCTTGTGTTGAAAGGTGCTATATAAATAAACTTGCCTTGCCTTGCCTACGTCACTATACTCAGGAAGGGAAAAAGAAAAATCTCCAACGAGGCGTTCTGGGGCAGCATAGACAGGTATTTTCTGTGTTAGAGTTTTACTCGCTACAGGGTGTACTTTGAGGGTTTGTGACTTTGCAGACCGTTTACATGCAGAAAAAGCTACATAACACACAAGGGGACGGGTAATAACCGGAAAAGCATGACATGGGACCTTTAAACAAAGCAAATTGTCCAGTCCTACCTGATTGCTTCGGATGAGAAAGCTGTCAATAAAGTCCCTCGGTGAGCTTGGGTCCATTGTCTCTTTGTGCTCTTGGATCTGCATGGACACAAACCCTCTTATCTCCTGAATCTGGGCAAAAGCAGTGTTATGGCTGCCGGGAAGATGCTCCACGATGCGGGGAAAGACGTTGTACATCTGTATCAGGGAGGCAGACAGTACACTCAAGCTTTGTTTCACAGGGGTTCATAATGTATTCAGTGTGTTGCGGCTATCGTTGCAAAATGCTGTATATTATTGTTAAGCTGCATTCACATGAAACGCAATGTGAATTTCGTAAATAATTTCAACTTTGAGCGCAGCGCTTGGAGACAATTTCGAGTGATTGCGCTAAAGCGTCAGCAGAGGCACATACAGTATAATGTGAATGCATCTTTACAGTATTCTCTCTGAATATTTCCACCATTACCTGTCCCAACTTCTATTTAACTTAAAAAATCATAGACATGATATTAAGTAGGATTCGGGCCTCCCCTTCATACCTGACCCCAGGGACTACTAGCAAATTTCAAGGTTTTTGTTAGTATCTGCAGAAGAGACAGGAACTTCTCATCTTCATATTTGAAGCGTTGGCCAAACACCAGGCAGCAGATCACATTGGACGCGCTGAGACTCAACAAGAATGAGGGGTCAAATGGCTTGGCTGGAAGGGAAGAGGGAAACACAATTGGACTTATAAACATTCTGATCAGAAGAAAAAAGGTGGTGTTGGCAGGTCACAACATCCATTGAGAATTAATCTTACCTGCCATACAACTGTTTTTCAAATGCTAAAAACTGCTAACTTTGCTGGGGTTTGAACATGTTTAAGCTCACTTTGGATGTGTTGGAACCAGCGTTTTTGTTTAATTGAAATACTAAATAAAAAAGGTGGTATCTGTTAATGTCACAACACTGTAAGAAGTCGAACTGCCATTCAACCTTGCATGGTTTTTAGTTGAGGATATCAATATCCACCAAACTCTTGCTAGCTTAATTTACTCATTACCTGTTAATGATCAACATATAATTTGAAAATATTCAGTTTGTTGCTTGCCAATTGTTCAGATTTAAATAAAGCTTAAAATGCTTCATTTGCTTTCTTAGTAAATCAAGGCTTTAAATGAAGGTTCACTGTTTTAGCCGATTGTGTAACATAGTCTGTGTTTACTTTGAACCAACTGCCATCAAAAAGAGATAAGGCTTAAAGAGTGCAGCTCAAGCAAGAGAGATGCATATATCCGAACAACTGAACAATGCTTTCACAGTCTCCCACAACAGCTGAAAACACACCTTTGAACGTTTTTACGCGATCCCTCAAATGTTGGCTCTCTTCTTGGATCCACTGTTCCATGCCTTTGCGTCCCATCCCAAAGTCTCTTAAGGTTGTCAGTGTGAAACGTCGAAGTTGGCGCCAGCGTTCCCCGTTACTGATCCCCAAACCTGACAAAAGGAAATGGTTGTTTTGTGACGATCTGAGGTCTTATAGATACATGTAAATACAGAGACGTGCAGACCTAAAACCATTAGGAAATCACTTGTCCCTTGACAAAGAAAAATGATTTGAAGTGCTTTTGTTACCGTAGCCATTGGTCGCTTTCATCAGAAACGGCAGTGGACCTCTGCCAGTGAAGTCATCTGCATGGTCCACCAGAGCCTCTTTCACGGCATCGTATCCTACCAGAACAATCGTCCGCTGCCAGCCCAGGTACACTGTCATCACAGGACCGTAGGTTTCACTGAACTAGAAAAACACATTAGGGCAATTAAAGGCTGCAAATGAACTATTGCTTTTTTAGTGCAAATGTTTCCTTGTGATAAAAAAAATCCGTTTGACTGAGGTTATGCAGAGACGTCGTCTCTCATTATTGTTGTCCGATTACATTTTGTCTTACCTTGAGAAAGCTTTTAAAAGGTGCATTTTTGTCAAGCTGTGGCAAGTTTCCTACTAGAGGAAGCGCATAGGGTCCTGGAGGCAGACGATACTTTCTTCTGTTTCTGACACTAAACAGCCACAATAGAGCTACGATCAGCCCTGCCAAGATCACTGTTGTTGAAAAGTCCATAATGCTCTTAACACTTCGTCCTCTTGAATCTCTGCTGCTCAACAGATCTCTCTTATGCTTGAATCCTTTCATTGGAGCTTATATTTAAATGGGTGTTTATCTTTTACAGCATGTTGGCAGGAGCGCTGCATTAGGACACAGGTCAGCCATGTGACACTCCTGTGTACCTTTGTACAACTTGGCCTGGTTATTGATTTTCATTTAATAAAAGCCAGTGTGAAGCCTGCTGACAACATCTGAGTTGACTAATAAGGACAAATCATGTAATTAATATCTCTTTTCCAAGTTTAATATTGAAGAAATTGACAGGAATTAATAAAATAATATATCTCTGTGTGTGAACACACCGAACCATAGACATGAGCCGTATGGTTTTTCCTTAAGCTCAATAATATGTATTTGATTATTAGAAATGTGTAGAACAGTAGTTCCAATCACTGGGTATAAACAAAGTGAAGCATGGTGGCTTATTGCCATATACAATTAACACAATTCTAAACCATAACAGCAGTCAACCAAATGTACAGAGTGGCAACGCATTTTGACAATAAACTGGTCAATTAATAATGTCTATTGAAATGTACTATGCAAGCTACACTCAAATAAAATTGCAATTCGACATTAAATGTTTTATCTTACTATTCCAAGCCTGTCGAGTGGAGCGTCAGCATGCTGAATGGTTATGTAACACATTCTATGTTTATTGCACATGCCATTAGATGGAGATAAGGATTAATGGATGTGAGAGAGGGATAAATGTGCTGAGCGAAATGATATTGTCACATAGTGGCAACGTTTGCAGTACAGTAATCCATCTTCTACCACGTATCGGTGGTCACGTCGTGGAGGAAGCAGTTCCACCAGAGGGCCTAAAACAAGGGTGTCCAATCTTTTTTCACCGAGGGCCACATACAGAAAAATATATGAAGGGCTAGAGGTGAGGTATATTGCCTCATATGCTATGTTATAGCTATGCTAAGTTATAAGTAAGCAAAATCAATCAAATGTAGGTAAATTAAGCTTGATACTGAAGTAAGAAGATATGATTCTACACTGTATTGAAGTAAACATGTATTGTTTGAACTGTTTTAGGTAATCACAAACGGGTTTTGATAAGTCACTTAGAATAGGAATGTTATTCTTACTTCCAAACTCACTGATCCAGAGATTCTGTGTTTCATACACCAACCTTGCCTGGGTTTCACCCCTAAAAGCAGATGTCGTCATTAAGGTCGTTAAAGACAAACATTACATCCTTCTTATCATTCTCTAAGAGCCAGATGCTGTTTCTAAGTCGTTAAAGACATCGTAAAATAGGTGAAGAAGAGCATGGGAAGAGAATGTGGTGGAGATAGGGTGAAGATAAACGTTGACTTTTGACCTGGGGTAACTTAGGATCTCACATGCTGGGCAGACCTCTGATTGAACCCGGCCAGAAGCGAATCCAGCCAATCAGGACACTTGGGGGAGGTTAGCAGTTTAAACAGCTCCTCCCCAGGGGTTCTCTGATTCGCTTGGGAGAAAAGTGGGAAGGAAGAATCGACAAATCTCCGCCCCAAAGACAGATAGAAATACTGATGATTTTGAGTGTAAAATGCTTCTGGTCTGTTGAAAGCTGGTGCTAGAAGACGGTAAACCGCATCACAAACCTGGAGTCCATACTTCTCGTTTTCTGAAAGCTGGTCTGTCTACCTGTAAAACCGCATCATCAGGCCTGAAGCCCGGAGTACTCGAGTACTCTGTATAACTTGTATATGTGTTTGGTTTCCTACTAGAAGTAAACTCAGATAATTTGTTATAACTTTGATTCCGGTGTTTTCAATTCCTTTCTTAATTTAATAGAGATCCAGCCTCATCCAACGAACGGCGCGTAGCAGAGGTATTCTACTCCAACAATACGTGAAAATGCTGTAAGAAACACAACAGCCTACATCACAGCTCTCCATAGGGTTTCATTTATTTAGTTTGAAGCTCATGCCTTAAAACAGAAGCTTCAGATTGCTTATAAAAATATTTGTTATGCAAATAAGTGATTGGGCTTTTTATATGAACTCAGATTAGTTTGAAAATGTTTCCAACTTTAATTGATTGAATATACTGTATTTGAAAAGTGGGCACACATGAATACTGTGATATATATTTGTAAATATATATTTAATTAGTACAATATATGACAAGCATAAGTTGAATTTGTGGGCCATATTTCATTATACTATGTGAATTAGCTGAGGGTCGTTTCAAAATGGGCCGCATTTGGCCTCCGGGCCGTAGTTTGGACACCCCTGGCCTAAAACCTCCTTTCCCTGGCTACATTAACTAGCTCTGACTGGGGGATTCCAAGGCGCTTCCAGGCCAGCATGGAGATATAATCCCTCCACCTGGTCCTGGGTCTGCCCCTTGGTCTCCTCCCAGCTTGACCTTCCTGGAACTCCTCCCTAAGGAGGCAGCCTGGTGGCATCCTTACCAGGTGCCGGGACCAGTGTTAATTTTGGCAGCTGTTTTTGATTTAGTCTTACGGTGCGTCTACACAGCAGCGTTAAAAAAATCTTGAAACGCTTCTGCCCATTCACTTTGAATGGGGTGACGTCACTTTCCCTCACTTTTCGCCGAAATGCATTGTGGGCAGGCGAGCGGAGATTTTCAGGATTTTCAGGATTCAAAGTTGAACAATGTTCAACTTTTGAGGCTGAGGTGGAAGCGTCAGCCAATCAAATCCTGTGTACGCAAATCTGACAGTTCAAGCTCTAGCCAATCAAACGGCGTGTATGCTGGGAGAGACATACCGCAGGTAATTTCCTCATATTCCAAAAAATGGAGGAGAAATTAGCGGTAGCGAATCAATCACCCGGTGCTTTATGACCAGACCTACCGGGATATAAACCGGAGGAGCCAGGCATGGAGGGAGGTGGCAGAGACAGTGGTAGGTTTTTGCCTGTTTTGGGGAGTTTATATCCAGTTTACTTCGGGCTTTTTTGCTTCGTATGTCGCGGGCGGGAGATTCATGTGATTGGTTGTTTGCAAAAAATCCCCAAGCTTCAGATACGCCCACCTCCAAGATTTTTTTAACGCTGCTGTGTAGACGTACCGTTAGTCTTAGTCTTTAGACGAAAATGGTTATTAGTTTTAGTCACATTTTAGTCATTTCTATCCTTCATAGTTTTAGTCTAGTTTTAGTCGACGAAAACTCAAAACGTTTTAGTCTACTTTTAGTCGATGAAAAATTACATTTTAGTCAACTTTTAGTCAAAATGTTTTCTCTCTTTAAACCAATTCAGTTAGGCAAATACAGGTATTGACATTGTAATCAAGGTGACAGCATCAAGTGTTGAAATTCGTAAAGCAACATTTCACTCTCTTAACACTTTACTTGTGTAATATATAGGGATGGGTATCGTTAAGGTTTTCTACGGTACTACTAGTCTTATCAATACTGCTTATCAATCCAGTACTTTAACGGTATTCTTGTATTTACTTTTTGTTATTTTTTAAAGGAAAAAACTAACAAATTGTTAACCGAATTAATTGCTTTATTTAAATGTGAAATAAATGAAATATATATAATTATGTTAAAATATTGTACTGTACTTGAGTAAAATGTTGAGGGACTTGTACTTTACTGGAGTATTTAAATGTTTTGCTACTGTGTACTTCTACTCCACTACAGTTCATAGTTAAACGGTGTACTTCTACTCCACTACATGTATTTAATACCTTTAGTTACTTTACAGATGTGGATGAATGATGTGAAATATAATCAAGTGTTAACTCAGACTTTAGTAAATTCACAAGCTACCCTGCAGTATACAAAGTCCTTCAAACTAGCTGCACCTTTACTAGCTTTGAGAACACTTTAATGATCGATCATTATAAAACATATCATATATATTATTCTGAAATGGACCAATCTGCACTACTTTTACTGTTGCTACTTTAAATATATTTTGATGATCATACTTTGACTTGAGGAACTCTTCCTACACTATGGTATTTTTTTACTTAGCTACAAGATCTGAGTACTTCTCCCACCTCTGAGTCTGCACACCTGATGTGATAACGTTACTCGTAATTGGGGCAACAGAGCTACGAGTTAAGGAAGTCGAAAATTGTGCATTTCTCCGACTGAATATGACGCCTTTTGGCCGGCTGTTTGGACAGACTACTCTACTCGTGTCAACGCGCTAACGCGAAAACATGGCAAACGAGCTTTGTCCACATCGAGTCTTGTAGAGTGTCTCTATACTCTCTGAACGCTCCGTCCCCAGCAGATCTCTGCCGCTGCAGCATGTCTGTTAGGCCCCGCCCCCGCACACAGAGAGAGAGGGAGATCGCTCTTCTGGAGTGAAGAGAACGGAAATAATGATATTGCAAGTTAGAAATGTAAGATGCATTTTGACAGACAAGACGGACACTTGGGGGGAAATACCCTGCATTTTGAATGTCCGATAGTCCACCATTAACACCTTAGTCCCGTCTCGTCTCGTCAACGAAAACTAAATATACATTTCGTCAAATTTTCGTTATCAAGAATCTATTTTTAGCTCATCATCGTCTCGTCTTAGTCATGTAAAAAAGGTCGTTGACGAACATTTTTCGTCATAGTTTTCGTTGACGAAATTAACACTGGCCGGGACCACCTAAACTGGCTCCTTTTTACACATACTGTAGGAGCAGCGTCTCTGCTCCGAGTCCCTCCTGACTGAACTCCGTAGATAACCGATTTTGACTGCGATCTTGTTCTTTCGGTCATGACCCGTCCTTCAGGACCATAGGTGAAGTTAGTGTAGCCCTGGCTAAAAGGTGTTTAAACAATAGGATATTAATAAGTTAATGTTTTCTGAAAGTTAAAAGACATAAATATGATGAAAAGGATTTATAAAATGTATTCAATGCATTACTGAGTTAAAAGTTCAAAGGTTAGAGTTCATGAGCATAGTTTGTTTACTGTGTATATCACTCAGCATGTGTAGTTCACAGCCTAACATGAGGTAAAGATGTCAGTCTTTGCTTTCGTTATTTTAATTGGAATGTTCTAAAAGGTCAGCCAATACGATTTAATTCTCAGGTAAAGGGGCGAGGATTAGACATGCGCATCC